TTTGGCTGGTACCTGCCATCTTCGAAGATCGAAAATTCAAAGTAGACTGTCGCAACGAGACTGGACATTAACGTGGTGCGACGGTTTGCGTACCTCAATGACCCATTGAGCTATACTGGGTGATGCCTCCGAGCATCTTGAGAGCTACTCCTACCAGGTTGGTCAATGGTGAGAGGTCAGACAAACTCAGTCCCCTGGTCCTCCAGGTTGTGGATTTGAAATGGGATGGCGTCCATTTCTGTAAAACTGAATCACTGCCACCCCGCTGCCTTGCGGACAGGCTTTTGAGCCAAAGGCTTTGGATGAGGAGCCTAATCGTCCTCCTGTCTAGGTCTGGGCGCCCTGGCAGTATCTCAGCCCAAATACAACCATGACATTTTCTTCAAACATAAACTTCATCCTGCATCGGCCGTCTCGCAGATTATCAAGGGTCGCCTTATCTGCTGCATACAGCAGGGCGGATAAGCGAAAACATGCTACTGCTGGCGCCTCCCTTCTTTCTTTTCCACCTTTTTCTCTTACTCCCATTCCGGCCCCCATTCATCATCATCATCATCATTATACACATCAGCTAGAGGTGGGAAAACACCCCCGCTGTTGTGCCGCAATACATGAAAGAAATACATACATACATACATATAATACAATACACAAAAGAAAAATAGATACAACAGTTGCATGCCAGCTGAGCTACCAGCAACGGATAGGCATCGTTCCGGTAAGCTTCCAGCCAGCCACTAGGCAAAAAGAAAAATTTACTGTTTTACATTAGGAAATGAGATTGTAGATGGAGGGGGAGGCTAAAATGGATGGGAAGGACAAAGAAACTCACAGCACAAACGCCACTGAGGCCGGCTCCTTGCCGTGTCAGCAAGTTTATCCAGCCAAACGTGTTCACCGGCTTTTGGACCCCAACCAGAGAGCCGTGACGCTCCAACCGAGGCTAGCTCCGAAGTGAGGGACTTCATTCCTCTCGACCAAGTCATCGCTTGGCCACCTCTCTTCTTCTTCCAACCACATCCCCGGTGAGCAAACAACGCACGTCGAGGGAGTCGGTGGGCTGGCATGCGTAACACGTGGCCAAGCCATCGGAGGCTGGCCCCCGTTACTAACCTTCCTTCTATAATTTCCAGCTTAATTGACAGCAACGGAAGTGCTACTGGAGTAGAACCATCTGCAGCCACCCTCAAACCGCACCTATCGGACGCCTATCAGCAAAAGTCCCTTATAACGCCACGCTGTCCCGTTTCTATGGCGACATTCAACGTCCGCACTCTAAGACAAATAGGTCAGCAGGCTGCACTCGCGCGCACCTTGGACACACTGGGTGTTGATGTGTGTTGTGTGTCCGAAACTAGGATCACTGACCCTAACGGGGTTATTGAATTGACTGCACCCAGGTTATCCTCTCGCTATTGGTTGCACGCATCCGGAGACGCCGATGCGGCACTCACCGGTCAAGCTGGTGTAGGTATCATTCTAAGCTCCAAGACTGAGCCATCGTTGGTTGATTGCATGGCGGTGAACAGCCGTTTATGTGCAGCCCGTTTGACGACATCAGCTAAGGTGAATTCACGAAGTAACACAAAACGCTGTTTGTTTGTGATTACCGTTTATGCTCACACCGACTGCAGTTCTGATGCAGTCAAGGACATTTTCTATCACGAACTGAACGCCCCACTACGCAGTGTTACTAGTTCAGATATTATAGTACTTGCAGGGGACATGAACGCACAAGTAGGGCGGCTGAGTTGTTCAGAAGCTCATTTGGGTTTAATTATGAGCTTAACTCCGAACGGACTGACAATGGTGAGCGTCTGCTGCAACTGTGTGCAGAGCACCAGTTGTTTCTTAGTAGCACTGCTTTTAGACACAGTGGGCGCCGAAGTGCCACTTGGCGTCCACCTGTAGCTGGCCAGCGATGGACCCAAATTGACCACATAGCCATAAGTTACAGGTGGCGTGGTTCCATCCTGGATTGCCGCTCGTACTGGAGTACCTGTAACGACTTTGATCATGCCTTGGTACGCTGTCGTTTCTCCATGAACTTTACCGGAAGGCGCACAAAGCGTCCCCTACGATTGGCTACGGAGAAATTGTCTCAGCCCTCGGTCAAGCAAGCCTATCAAGACACACTGCATACCGAACTTCCTCTGTCTTGTCCTAATGACACTGAACTTCAGTGGAATAAGATCTCGGCTGTCATGCACGACGCAGTAGCACCTGCTTGTGGCACTATCCATCGTCACCGCACTAGTCACTGGATATCCGAGAGGTCGGTGAACCAGTTGGAATCTAGAAGACACCTCCCGGCTGGTTCTGAACACAATGTGACCAGACGGGCTATTAGGCGTGAACTAAAACAGAGCCTACGTGCTGACAAGGAAGCCTGGTGGACCAGTAGGGCTCAAGAAATGGAGGAGGCAGGAGCAGTAGGCAATTACCGGAAGCTCTTCCAGTTAATCTGCACCACTGGTCCCAGAAAACCAGGCGTCAGTGAGACAATCAGAGACAGCGCGGGTGCGCTGATACACAATAAGGAGCGCCGTTTGGCTCGTTGGGCGGAACACTTTCAAGATCAGTTCAGCTGGCCCCCTGCTCCCGGACCTCTTCCTACTCAGATGATGGAGGACGAGCCATGGACGGTTAGTTTAGAGCCTCCGTCGGAGGCCGAGGTCCGAAACGCGACCACAGCCCTTAATCGTTTTCGGGCCACTGGCCCAGATTCCCTCCCACCTGCACTATTTAAGGATGGAGGTGAGGTCCTCTGCAAAGCACTGACCTTATTTGAATGTATCTAGAAGGAAGTGTCCCGGCTAATTTGAGCGAATCGATTATAGTGTCAGTATACAAGAAGGGCAGTTGCACAGACTGTGCGAACCACAGGGGTATTAGCCTAACGCCAGTTGTGACAAAATTACTGACCTCGATTCTCGTTCGTCGCCTCACTGCGGAATGGGAACCTCGGATTAGGGAAGAGCAGGCCGGTTTCCGTCCAGGACGTGGTTGTATAGACCATATATTCACTTTGCGGCAGGTGTTAGAGCAGCGCCACGCACACCGCAGATCAACAACAGCAGTGTTGCTCGATTTCAAGAGTGCGTTCGATTCAGTCGATCGGTCGATTCTGTTCTAAATACTTGCACGGAAATGTGTTCCCACGTAAAATGTGAACATCCTTCGTGCTCTATACTCGAACACTACAGGCCGCGTCAGGGTTTACGGTGGCCTATCGGATAGCTTTCCGACCACAAGTGGCGTTCATCAGGGTTGTCCGATTTCCCCATTTTTATTCAATTTCGTCGTGTATTCTATCATGGAGTGTTTCGTTACGGAATCTCACGATGTAGGCGTTGAAGTGCTGCCTGGTGAAAGGTTAGTTGATCTTTATTATGCGGACGATATCGTCTTGCTTTTCGACGATTTTGTGGCGGCACAATCAACCCTGAATAGTCTGTCCAGAGTGGTCCCATTATTTGGTATGCACTTCGCACCTTCAAAGTGCAAATTGTTGCTGCAGGACTTGATGACCCCTTGACGCTTGCTAACGAGGAACTCGAGGTGGTTGATCATTTCACTTATCTTGGCAGCTGCATCAGCAATGATGGGCGCATAGAAACTGACGTGAGCTCATGCATTGCGAAGGCCAGAACTGCCTTCTTGAACCTGCGGCATCTTTGGCGACAGAAGGGAGTTTCCCTCCGTCTGAAAGGCCGTGTATACAAGGCCACAGTGAGGGCCGTTCTGCTCTATGGTAGTGAGACTTGGCCCCTTCGGTCTGAAGATCTGAGGCGCCTTCAAGTCTGATCATCGTTGTTTGCGATGCATTGCTGGTGTCGGATGGCACCAGCGTATCCGCAACGATGATGTGCGTAGGCGAGTACTAAGTAGTGATAATCATGCTAGCACCCTAGGACAACAGATAGCACTGAATAAGTTGCGTTGGCTCGGGCACGTGCTACGCATGCCTGGTCACCGCTTACCTAGGAGGGCATTGTTCAGTCTACCAGGTGCAGGATGGCGCAAGGCTCAAGGTGGACAGAAGTTGACTTGGCAGCGGGAAAGGAAGTCACTGACAACCAAACTGGGTGCCGTTTGTCCGTCTCGCCTTCCGGGTTGGAGTCCACGTGACTCACCTTGTGCTTGGCTCGAGACTTTGCAGGACATGGCTCGCAACCGACACCAGTGGCGCGTCTGCTGCCGTCTCCTAATCGGATCGGCTGTTTAAAGTGTGTTTGGTGCTGAGTTATCTGCGGGGTAATGGCTGATTATGACGCGTGGCAGTGAAAGCCGCAAGGAAGTTGTCTCGCCGATGCCGCCTTATCTTTACACGATAGCCAGCTGTTTGTGACGGTATGTTGTCTACACAAAGTGTAGGCGCCTTGACCCTGAATGTTTGCTTAGGGTATTAAGGTTTTCAGGTAAGTCCCCTTCTCTCCCTCTTCTTATTTTTTATTTCATTGGTCCTCATGGTTGTATGGCAGCGAAGCATCAGTTCAAATGGCTGATGTACTGCTGTTGATAATGAAGATTATGACATTCGTGGCTGAGACTATCCGATGTCCCGTAGTCACAGAGTCAATGGTGATCTCGAATCGGACCTGCTATATCACTCCACACATTTCCCACCCACTTCCTCTGTATTCCAGACTGCGTACCACTTAAACTCCCCAATGTAGTTGATTATTGATATTCTGGAGACGTGAATAATGGTTCCTGATTCCAGCGCAATCCAGTATTCGGACCATGGTTGTCCAAGTAAACTGGTGCTAGGTATCAGGTGCCGCACGTACCGCAAGCTTAGTAAACAATTGCAGTGTATCAGATGTGAAGTGCAGCGAAGTAAGAGCGCGTCGGTGCAAAGATTTGTCGGATTCTTGGTGTGAAAAAACGTCCCGCCTTGAATTTACACCGAATGAAATTCTAAGAAAAAGGACTGTCTATTAATTGATACAATAAAAACCAATTAGAAAAATTCGCAGCCACAGCTATTAACTTACCTTGGCAGCTTGACGACAACAGTCAATAGCCACATTGTAATGAGCGTGAATTTGAGCACCAATCAATTCCGCCTTTGACAGATTATGTCGAAATGCAGGGGAGTCTCGGAATGCCTCATGTGACGTCAAATAATCCACCAAGTTGTTATCAGTCAGGCTGATTACATTCCCATCGACCATCAACATAGCCGAAAAGAGTTTGGTATAGCAGTGCGGCAAGGTACCACCGGGACTGAAGTAAAGGTTAAGTTCATATGTCAATACGGGGAACCAGAATGTAGTTAAAAACAAAAAAAAATACCGCATCGTTTTAAGTAACAGATATATATCCAGCCCAGGTATAAATAATAGACAAAAAAGAAGAGATAATTGTATTTTGGATTATAAGTGTACCAATAACAATCTACGCAGTTTTCAACTGACAAATCATCTGGCTCGTCAACATAGCTCGTGGAGTGAAAGTTTTCAAGCAAGTAGGTGGAAAAGATCTAAAAAATATATTCAAGTTTCGTAAAACTCAAAGAAACTCTGTTCCACTGGTTCATCTAAGCAACAACGATACGGGAATAGAAAGGATGTAAACCCAGTTGCGTAATAAACGTCCGGAATGAGGTCACGATTGGAGATGGAAGCTAAGTGGGTGAGGGAGGAACGCAACAACACAACACATCATTATATCATTATGCACGTTAGCTAGAGGAGTAAAACACCTAAGCTACTGTGCCGCAATACATAAAAAAGGGAAAATATGCAACAGGTGCAAGCCAGCTGAGCAACCAGCAACGGATGGACATCGTTCCGGCAAGCTACCAGCCGGCTACTAAGCAGCAAAAAAATTTACTATGGTAAATTATATAAGGCTAAATAGTGAGATCATGATTGGAGGGGGAGGCTAAGAGGGATGGGGTGGGACAAAGAAACTCAGCAAGAACGCCACTGAGGTTGGCTCCTAGCCATGTCAGCAAGTGTATCCAGCCAAACGTGTTCATCGTCTTTTGGGCCCCTACCAGGGAGGCAAGACTCTCCAAATGAAGCCAGTTTCGAAGTGCGGGCCTTCATTCCTCTCGACCAAGTCATCGCTTGGCCACCCCTCCTCTTCTTCCATCCACATCCCCGATGAGCAAACAACACACGTCGCGGGAGTCGGTGGGCTAGCATGCGCAACACGTGACCCGGCCATCGGAGCCTGGTGCGTGAAATGACGGTGCTGAGTGGTTCATTTCCTTTTCCTGTGCCATAAACAAGGCGTCGAACACGCTCGTTACTCACGCGGTGTTCCCACCAGATGTGAGCCAAATTGCGAAGGCACCGGTGGTCGAACGTAACTAGCCTCTTTATGTCCGTTGATCTAAGGAGCCAGGTTTCCCAACCGTACAGTAGGGTCGAACGTACTGCTGCACTGTACACTCTACCCTTCAGCGCAAGAGTGATGTCGCGAAGGTGTCATAAGTGGCGAAGGTTAGCAAAAGCACCTCGAGCTTTTGCTATACGGTTCGTGATCTCATCTTCAATCCCACGGCCAATGAGATCGGCTCTTCGCCATGTCAACAAATGAAGCCAACCAAAGAAGTGAATCGATTTTGGAACCACAATCAGGAGTCGGGGGCACTAACAGGCTCGAAGTGAGAACATGCATTTCACTTGACCAAGTCATTTTCTATCCTTCCAACTTGTTTTCCATTCACATCCCAGACGCGCAAAGAACGCCCATTGCGATGGTCGGTCTGCTGGTATACGTAGCACATGACTCAGTCATCGGAGCCTGATGCAAAAATTAGGGTGCTGACCGGTTTACTTACTCCTTCTACATAAAATACACAAGGTCGAACACGCTCGCTGCTCACGCGGTGTTCCAATCAGATGTGAACCTAACCGCGAAGGTATCGGTGATCGAACGGAACCAGCATCTACGCCTAGCGTTCTGATGAACCAGGTTTTACAAGCTTACAAGTGGTCTGAACGGGTGGCTGCATTGTAGACTCTACCCCTCAGGGCGAAAGTGACGTTGCGCCGATGTAACAGGTGGCGAAAGTTGCCAAAAGCCCCTCCAGCTTTGCTAAGCCATTCCTGATCTCATCTCTTATCGCATAGGCACAAATGTAGCTGGCCAGACAGCTGCATTTCTGAACCACTTCTAGAGGATTCACACCAACAGTCGGCGCAGGGGGTTGACTCTGTCAATCTTAGAGCATCGCCTTGCATTTGGAGGGTGCAAAGCCCAGACCGAAACGACTGACAGTCATTGCGCTCTTTCCAGGGTTCCTAGGTACATTTGTGAACTGTTATGGATTATGAACAGTGGCGTAGAAACTAGTGTTGTCACTCGGGGCGGTGGTAGAATTTTCGCCCTGACTGAGGGCAGAATAGGCGGGTGAAGGCCACACATTCGGCTCAGGGAAATGCACATTAGTTTTCGAGGAAATGGATGATCGCTTGGGATACTGAGGTAAAGGTGGTGAAAGCGACCGCAATGGGACAAATAAGGTGATTGCTGGGAAGAACGCTTTCACAGGTGTGACACATAACGCAAGTGTGTTGGTCATATGGAGAAACATTAAAATCCTCAAACCTCAGCTTATCAGGATATTGTTGCCCTTTATATTTGGTATCGGAAATCGACGGAACTAAAATTGCCGCCCCCCGTCAGATGCCGCCCGGGCCCCCCATGCTATGCCCCTGATTATGTGAATATCGCACAGAAGTCAATCATCTGGAAGCAACTATACGCTGTTTAATCTGCGTTTGTTGTACGTGGTTAAATAGCTTCAGTAACGGCGAAGTTACAAAGTTAAGGAAACAGCGGGTATGCTTGCCTCATACCACTGCATAAATGGAACAGCACAAAAGTTTACCATAACCTCTCACTCTGTCCAAATAGGTGCGCAAACTGCTTGCATAATAGTTACATAGTTCTTAGCACATGTTTCTCAAGATGTCTTTGTCCGGGAGAAGGTAAGTATTTCTCGGAACGGTGATTACCTGACTGTGACCGATTATCGCATGTGGATGGAGTTTCGAAGCGTGGATCACATACTGGGAAGACATGTTTCGGACGGATGGTCCGTGGAAAGTACGGTTACTACTTCGTAAGCTTGGCACAAAAGAAGATTCAAGGTTCATTAACTACACTGTTCCCAAACAGTCGAATGATCTGACGTTCGACGAAGCAGTGTCGCGGCTCATTCAAACTTTTGGCGCGACAGAATCTACATTCAATGTTCACTATCAATACTTAAAAATGTCAAAAAAGAAAAGGACGATTTTGGGGTCCTAGCAAATATGGCTGGCTTGCCGAACTACCTCCCCGTGGTGCCAGCTGGGTGGTTCGGGTGTACCCCATTCCAGAAAAGTGTTAGGCGACAATGTTCCACCTCCGTGGGGCATTGTATTCCAGCAATTGTGCTGACTTCATGGGGAGTATTGGGCCCCTGTTTGGTAATCTACTAAACAAAGGCGCATGAGCTGATCATTCAGTCAACGCCTCCCAATGGGCGCGATTCCCTAAATCCGCCCCGCTGCCTTGCAAGTAGGTTATTTAGCCAAAGGCTCAGGGTGGAGTCCCCTAAGTCAACTCCCTACTTCGGCTTGGGCAACCGGGTAGTATCACGCCCTCTCACAAATCCATGGACTGTACTACAACGCGCTCATCAGCTACTGTTCCTGCTACTCACTTTCACGCTACTCCATCACACGCCAATTGTTTGTTTGCTAACAATCCTCACTTTCGGTTACCCAATTCATCTGCTCAACAATCTGGCTGCGATTCCGGTTGCTCCGCAGATCAAGGAATTCAACCTATGGCTCTCCTTCGTCCTCGATCCTCATTCCGTCTGGCGTGCTTCAACGTCCGGACACTCATGCAGATTGGACAGCAAGCCGGTCTAGCGCGCACCCTAGATTCCCTAGACATTGATGTCTGATGCCTTTCAGAAATCAGATTGCAAGATCCCAGCACTGTGCTTACATTGACATCCCCCACTGACCACGAAGCCAGATATCACCTGCGTCTTTCTGGAGATCCAGAAGCAAGCTCAGCGGGTTTGGCTGGTGTAGGTATAGCACTGAGTGGCAAGGCCGAGGCGGCACTACTGGACTGGTTCCCGATTAACAGCCGACTATGTGCAGTTTGGCTTTGGGGTTCATGTAGAATCAACAGGCAACGCGAAGAGAGACGCAACTTGTTTGTGATCTCTGTGTACGCTCCAACTGACTGCAGTAGCGACTCGGTCAAGGACGATTTCTACGGAGATCTACAACAGCTCTTGACTAATGCTAAAAATTCGGATGTCGTTATCCTTGCTGGGGATTTTAATGCACGGGTTGGCCGCCTGTTACCATACGAACGCCACCTTGGTGGTCATCACGCGCTCGATGAGAACCGCTCTGATAACGGAGAGAGACTTTTCACATTGTGCGAGGACAACTGTCTGTTTTTCTCTAGCACCAGCTTCAGGCGTACGAAGAAGCGTTGCGCAACGTGGCGTCCCCCATCGCCAACACAACCGTGGTCTCAAATTGATCACATTGTAATTAGCTTCAGATGGCACGGCAGCGTACTGGACTGCAGGTGCTTTTGGGCTACTTTCGTTGATTCAGATCATGCTCTGGTCTGCGCGAAAATCTGTATGTGTTTTGGAGGATTCCGAAACACGAAGCACCGCAAGACTGATGTAAACAGATTAACTGATTCCTCTGTCCAGGAGAGCTATCAGTCTTCACTGGCATATGCACTCAGTTGCAATCCACCGCGAGAAGTGGAACAACACTGGACTTGTATACGGAAAGCGCTGACCATTTCCGGACAGTCATACTGCGGTCTAACTCGACGCCCTTTGAAGTCTTGGATCTCTGCTCGTTCTCTGGAGCTCTTCGAACGCCGCAAAGATATCTCCGCGGAATCAGATTGCAACGAGCGGCGCCGTTCTACCAACCGGCTGCTTAAGCAAAGCCTCCGCAAGGATCGCGAGACACGGTGGTCTGAGCGTGCTTTAGAGATGGAGACTGCTGTCCTCTCTGGCAACACTCGCAGGCTTTTCCAACTCATCCGGTCCACTGGCCTCAGGAAGCCTGGTGTCAGTGAGGTCATTTGTGAGATGGATGAGTCTCCGATCACCAACCAACAGAGGCGTATGGACCGCTAGGCCGAGCACTTTCACTCGCAGTTCAACTGGCCTCCACCATCCATCAGTACATGCAGTACACCTTGCTGTCCACCTTGGCTAGTCCCATTGAA